TGTTTAGATCACTGGTATAAACCACCGCAGGATAACTAAGCAATCTGCTGTTTGGTAAGATACTAGGAAGTCATTAAGTCAGCTTGCTCTCCTTCTGCTCAGAAAATGTTTATGGATATCCTTAATATCACACCTATGAAGTTAAAGTATGGAACTGTCTTCAGCTTCATTTTGAAAACACAATGCACTCTTTTAAAGTTGAAACCAGAAACTTTAAAAAATGGGATTCAAATACAATAATGTTGAAATATATATGCCAACTGCCAAGTAAAGTCATAGTAAGATATTAAAAAACATTTTAAAATTATTTAGACCACTAAGCAGTCTTCCATAGTTTGTCTATTAAAACTCCCAAGTATAATATATATGTATTTTTACACCATTCAAGTACCACTTCAGTAACTTAGTAAGGGGGTTATCACCATTCATAGAGGATAATCTTTCTTTGTTAGAAAACATTAAGCTATGTATTATTTCTAATTAAGACCGTGTTTCAGGCAAAGAAATTTATAATTTAATTATAAGAATATAAACTACAATGCAACTCATAACAGTATGTGCTTTGTCAGATAATTAAAATAGTGGATACATAAAGCTTTATCAAGCAGGGGGGAAAAACAGGTGAGGGAGCTGTGCCTCATTTATCACCTTGCAGACTAATGAGACTCTAAAGAGAGAGCAGTCAGGTCCCAGCACATCCCCTGATGGTGAGCAATAAAGCACACACACTGCAGACAGTCCCACTAACTTAATATACCCACCCTGCAAGTGTCGGTTCAGAAAATCCACAAAGAGAGAGAAGTGATAAAACAATATGGCTAAAACTAACTCATTTATCAAGAGAGACAGAATAATTATTAGGAATGCCCAGACTGTATGTCTGGTGATAGAAATGAATAATGGGCACATTAACTACATTATTTTAAATTAAGAACACACTTTAGAAAACCAAAAATCTAATATAAGTCTTCACTACATCTAAGCTTGAATTATGCCTAGAAATAAAGAAATGGTAAAATGCTCGGTTTTGCAAACCACATAGGTGAGTTCTCTGTGGCAAGCTGGAAAAAAAATGCACAGGTCCCCTTGCTAATAGTAGTAACGAGATCAGACATCAAACTTTGACAGTTTGTCATTAAAGAAACTGGGTTATACAAAAATCTAATCTGCTAGCATGGCATTGGTTTTCGTTTGGCAGAGACATTGTGTGCCTTACATAGCCTCCTTCTGTACTGGGGAGGCACAGGCATCCTAGTCTAGTTAGCTCTTGTAACACCTAGGCTATCTATCCAATGACGACTAGCTACAAAATCACAATTCCAACTAATTCACAGTTGAAATGAAGCTCTTGAATTAAGAATTTGTTACAGGTGCAAGAAAAGTCTGCTGCTCCCCCCCCAACCCCCCACCACCACAGTAATGTTTGGGATAGATTTCCCCAGACAGCATATAAGTAAATTAGGTTCTCTACATATTTTCCAGTTTACATAAATAACAAAATCCAATTTGGCCTATTGGTATCTTGGCTCCAAATATATAAACCTCCCCAATCCAAAATACTGCTTGTTTTAAATTCAGCCCAGTAAGCAGTTATCTTTGCTTGGCAAAAACTATCCTGTATTTGTAAATTACAAATGTTAGCATACAATACCACATACAAAATATATATTCTGCTCTAACAATCAGGCTGCGAATCCTCAGGGAGTGGGCCTGTCTGTCATCCTCTTCAATAAAACCAAGTGAACAGAAGTAGAAAATCTTCCCAAGATTTAGAACGGAATACCATCACAGCAGAGACACAAAGAAACGCTTATTTTTGACAAAGGAGAAGTAAAGAAACCAATTATCTGTAGGCGACAACCTGGATATTAGAGGACCGTGCACAAGTAATAGCAAAAAGTTCGCATTTTTGTGAGTGTTGGCAAAGAACAGCATTCCTATTTTCAACACTGAGAAGCGCTGCATGAGAAGAGCAGAGCTATCACTCAAGGCTTCCTTCAGCATAGCGCGTGCTGCCTTTCAAAGCCAGTCAACAATGACGACCCCTTCTATTCTACAAAGTGTCCCCAAACTCCCCCAGCCCTTTCTCCATCTACATACCTTGGGCATCCTCCAAACCTTCTCTTGTTTTGAGAAGATAATTTAAAAAATATGATTTTGTTGGACCTGATTCCCCATTTTTTTCCTTTAAAACATTTACTAGTGACAGCCTTCAAAAAGGAGAAAAGCCCCTTGCCAGCTGTCCCTTACCTTGAACCTCACCGTGAACATAGAGGCTCAGGAAATAGCACACTGATAAATACCAGCAATCACACTGTGAAAGCATGCTGCAGGTATATGCAAAATGCCATTTTCCCCCTTATCCGAAAATTTTTCAGTGCTAACTCAAGCTTTTCAGCAGGAAAGAGACTGGGTTCAATTAATGTATTTTAATTAGACAAATGAATATGAAGTGTCCTACTCTAATTTTGCCAACACTTATTTTGTGAATTTGGGTTACGCCATTGCTATCGGGTACACAGGAAAGAGAGGGAATAAAAAAAAATTTAAAGGTGAAAACAACAATAACAATGCTCATCTAAGTTGGCAAACAAAACAAAACAAAACAAAACAAAACAAAAAAGCAAACACAAAAAACAAAAAATGTTCCTGTCAGCTGCCAGATTATGACACAATTTCCTTTAGTTTAAATGAAAACATTTGGGAATATATAAATGAAAATGATCACTTTAAAAAACATATACAATTGTTTTATAATCTTTGAAGCGATGCCCTGATGCAAAATATTGTTCAAAACAGGGATGGTATTATGAAAAATCGGTCTGTCCCAGATAATGAATTCTTTACCAGCATAAACAACACACACACACACACACACACACACACACACACTCACAATTTAATAAGTATTTCTTTGTGTACTGAAAAAATATTTCTGTAGTACGCTAAAAATAGATTTTAAGAAAAAATCCACTTCATTATTAGAAATAAAACATGAAATAGAGTAGAGTTAATAATATTTACAATTATTTCAAGAGCCATCACAACCAATTAAATGCTATAATACCCAGTTCGGCAACCCTACTTGCTGGTTTTAGGAAATCTTTGTTCAACTGCAGACAGCCACAGGATTGGCTCCAGTGAATCTTAGTACAAGTTAGAGCCATCATTTACTCTAGGTTCTTAAACACAAGCCTCAGGTCCTAGGGGGACTCCCAAGGCATGTTAGGGTTTTGGAAATTGGTATCATTTGATTTTCTAAGGAATATACATTTCATCAGAAGAGGTTCCCGTTGGTCGATCAGATCTTAGTTTGTGAACCTGAAAACCAAAGTCACCAAAGAACTACTGAATTAGCCTACCTTTCAGTTTATACAGGGGCCTGCAGGATTTAAAGAGATGGCTCGATACAAAGCCTTGAAGGGGCTGGAGAAAACCTAGAAGCAGGTCTCTTGCTAATCAATTAGTATACCATTATGCTCATATCAGCTTCCTCACAGGGCCAGGGGAGGGAAAAGGAGCTAACTGTATGGGGTTTTTGTGACCAGATCTTATTGGCTATAAGGAAATATTATCTTGGTCAGAATGTTACCTAAAAATATCAAGTCTGAAGATACAGGAGGTAACAGAGATGGTCTACAAGAGCTAAATGCAAAAGGTATCCAAACACCAAGCTGCTGCAAGCCAAGCTCAGCTGCAGTCCTGCCTCGAGATAATGCAGAACACGACAAGATAATGCAAGTTCCCACACAGAGCCTCAGAAGCCCTGGCGGGGAGAACAGACCCTGAGCTAGCACACTAGCTGGTAGAGAAACTAGCTCAATTTATTATTTAATGATACTTAATAATTCTTAATAATACTTAATAATTCAATAGCCCTATAGTGTGACTTCCCAGGCTCTCTGCTTCAACATGCCCCAACCTGCTTCATACATAGACACACAGATTCACTTAAGTCAGACACAATTTCAAAATGTGGTTAGTAATTTATAAATGAAAACAAAACACAGAATCTTGATTTTTTTTTACAATCGCATAATGATTAATTTCTATGATTTTTCATGACTAACTTAGGGATGAAGTGTCACTACAATGCGTAATTATGTACTCTAGTTCTGTCTAACTACTCTGTGTGATCCTTGCAGTGTTGCTGTGGACACGCATGTGTGTAGACACAAACACCTCAGCCCACACTCTAGCTCTGTCATTTACTTCCTGTCTGCTCTCATAGATTTCAAACCTCTCTGTGACTCCTATGAACAAAACGGAGAAACAATTGGAGTGAGTATATTGGGCTCTTCTGAGGGTTACATGTGCAACATCTGTAAGAACCTATTACATTTTATGTTGGGTCATTACAGCTTAAAACGAAATTATTTAATTGATGAAATACTAAAACTACAATGAAAACTCAACCCACTCCCTGGGAGAACACTAGAAAGCACTCGGTCAGCTTGTATGTTTGTTTTTAATTGATTGAGACAGCATGCCAGTTTTCTTTACGCAAAGGGGCTGGTTGATCTGTCAATGAACCTGCCCCATTCCGTCTTTACAGCTGCAGGCCTGGCGGTCTTAGCTGCTCCCCGCCTCATGTATTCAGATACACCAGCCTTTTAAATGTCTGATTAGTCTAAGTGTTATTTCTCTGCAACATCTCCATCTCCAACAGTAAACAACCCTAGGGATTTGCTTAAGTGTAATGCTTTGCCGACTGCTCTTAGTATTTATGGAGTGGGACAGTATCACTAATACAAGGGCACTATAAAACAGAGACAACTCCAGCTCAAGTCTGCTTTACATGATTCTGTTAGGCGTATGTAGCTCACGACAGGAGCCCATCCAAGGCCATAGAACCCTGAAGGGCCAAGAGCTTCCAACACAGTTCTAAGACACTCAGTTGGGGTCCATTGTCAGCAAAGTGCATGTAATTAACCATTTTACGAGGCCACAATCTCAGATAGTCCACCTTAAAGTATGTTGTTGAAAATGAAGACTTTTACCTTTTCATATTCAGCAATGCCCAAGGTATTCCAGAAGGAGTATGAAATGCAGGTAGCAATTTTACCCCAAGCTCCACTGCTTTCTTTCGAAATATCTGAAAAGTTAAACAATTATGTAAGCTACTATTGCACGTAAAACATAATGTTCTCCACTATTAGCCATATTTAGCACTTTACTTTGCAACTCATCTGAAACAACAGCTACTAGAGTATGAACTGATCCAGGGGCCAATGCACTGTGGGGGTTCTTACACCCAACATTAGTTATACCTTAGTATGAGCGAGTGAATGTAGCACAATTCAGACATGTGTGTCTCACTTCCTCAATCTTAATTTCTAGTTTGAGTCTGCTGTTTCGGGCATTTGAAAGCATCATAGATAATCCAAGTAATTTCTACGTGTGTGCCAGCAGGCGAACTCACTGGTTTTGGACAATATTACTTAGATGGAGAACTAGATGATCTGCCCTTAGACGCAGTTTCTTACTGGGGCGTAAGGCATAAAGAAGTTTTAGAAAGACATAATCTGTATGTTATCTAAGCCCTTGATGTTTTAACTTTCTAGGAGAGTAAATGAAATAGGTGCAAGTTAAATGAGGTATAGATTCTTCCCAGAGTGTGGTAGGAAGAGGATTCCCATGAATTCTCAGAACACAGATAAGTAAGTGCTGGGGATGGCCAAATCTTCTTCCAGGTGTTCATGTCAGTCAGCAAGGCTCTACTGTGGAGATGGCCTTTAGATGAGTGGGTACGACATTGACCTGGGGCTAACTAAGAGAATGGGGGAGCTATTAGGAGTGGCCGTGGTCTAACACAGATGGATGCATGATGAACCTGCAGGATACACAGTGTAGCTTGTCTGACCAAATGGGGAAACTGGCAGCTAGGGTGGTATCCACAGTCTAGGCCAAAATCATGGAGAATCATAAATTCAAGAGTAAGATTTTTGTTGTTGTTGTTGTTAAAATTAAAATAATGAAGTGTTTGGAAGCAAATTCGGCTGAATTGTGCTTTAGGAGGATTGATCAAAATGACATTTGTTCAGTCAGTTGTTCATATCAAAGTACTGGCAGATTCACGGAAGGAAGGCCAGCTACCACCTTCTCTGTAGCAGCCATGACACCAAACTGGTCCCTCGTCTCCTCACCTTCAAACTGTGTGACTTCGTCTGGTGCACTGTTCACCCCTACTTTCTCCTCAACATGGAGAAGACTGAACCAGGAGTATGGAGAATGATAGCAAGGTCCTTCCTCCACCAACGTATGAACACTGGCCACAGGGCTTGTCATGGAAGTCCTGTGTCTCTTCCCCAGAGAGAAGAGCTCCTCACAATTCCTACTCCAAGACCTGAGCCTCTCTAAAGAGAGAACCAAGGACTTGGGCTCCGGAAAGGAGGGGTGACCTACTCACTCTAACATGGAGACCCCCACACAAACTCGACTCTTTCAGAGTCTAAGTCTCATTTAATAATGAAAGTTAGAAGGAAAGTTGCAAATGAAAACTCCAGCAATCAACTGAGGCAAACCGACATACACTGTATACAAATAAAAGCACACATATTTCTAGTTCATAGAAAGAACAAACAGAGGCCATTCACCCCACAAATTACCAACTGTCACCAAAGGAGACATGGAAAGAAAAGAATAATAATAAATATTATAAAATAGATCCATGGTTTCATTCTTCCTTCCCATTCCCTGAGAATTCCAGGCTGTCTTCCATGGTAAGAATTTATGCTACCACTGCCTGGCCATCTGTGGACTTTCTGGTTTCCACCCAATTTTTAAAACTGTTAATTAACTCCTTTTCAAGACAGTTACATAAGATAGAAGTCAAACTATGCAATTAAAACACCATCTTGGATATAAGCATATGGCGTGCGAGCTAAAGGCTCGGGCTTTGAAGGCACAATGCCTGTGTTTGAATCTCTGCTATACTGTTTCAGGTTGATTCATCTTGGCCCAATTGCTTAATCTCTCTGTGCCCAAGATTTCTTGCCTAGAAAATGCAGATAACAGCAGCATTTGCTTTTGGGAAGTTGTGGAGAGACATAAACAAGTTATTACATTTATGGACCTTAGAACAAATAGTGCTCACTCTATAAGTTGGGTGTAGTTTTGATGATCATAATTACATACATCTCCAAGGGCTTTCCATAGTTACTGTCTGAGGCTGTTTCTTTATATAATCCTGTTTGGGTCAGAATTATACTTCCCCACCTCCAAGGCTTAATTATGAGCTCAAGAGCTAAGCTCCATGTTCTCATCCCCTAATCACATTCCCATACTCTTCCCACTCTTTTCTTTGGCTCTTCCCTTCTATTCCTTAGAACACATCACAATTTGGGTATCTTGCTGTTTTCTGAAACTTAATCTGCCCCACACTGAGTTAGTAATTGAATATCCCAGATAAACTTGCCTAGTTCCATCACTGATGATGTTTAGCGAATCCCTTGGACTTGGTGTTTGATTTATTAACCTTTACTCATCACCAGGCCTAGCAGGGTTAATTCTGAAGTGTCCTGTGCACAGCTCACCTGAAGATAAGTATAGGCCATGTTCTCACCACCAGGTAAAATAAAAAGGATGATTATAAAAAAAGTTTTTCTATCCTAGCCATCAGGTTTCCTCATTTCCATTAAGCTGTATAATTTTAACATTTTTGGTTTTTTTTTGGTTTTTCGAGACAGGGTTTCTCTGTGTAGCTTTGCGCCTTTCCTGGAGCTCACTTGGTAGCCCAGGCTGGCCTCAAACTCACAGAGATCCGCCTGGCTCTGCCTCCCGAGTGCCGGGATTAAAGGCGTGCGCCACCACCGCCCGGCAACATTTTTGTTTTTTAAAAAAACCAAACCAGAATGATGTTGGCTATTCTACTATCTTAGTAACAACTCCTATGAATCAGGTCTGTCTATCATCTTTGTTCCCTCAGAGGTTGCTCTGGCTGTAACTTGTGAGACTTCACAGTCACAAAGTTTTGTTCAGAGTCTGACAGTGGCATCGTCTTCGCTTAGTCAGTTCTCTGATTTTACTGCCTCCTTTCAGCCCATCAAATCCACTCCTTCTCCAAGGCCCAAGCCAATTCTCGCCTCCAAGATCTTTGCCTCCCATGCATGCCAACTCTGAGAGCTTATGTCACACAAGGAGGTGTTTGCAAAGGCACGCCATAGATCTCTAAATGTTTTCCTGTACTTTCATGGCACCTGATAATTTTCTTTATTTTTTCTGAAAGTAGAGAGATTTCATTTTGCCTTCACTCCTTGTTTTATAGCGAGTCCAAATTTAATCATTTTGCATTTAAATATATTAAGAGCAGCACAGTATTCATATGCAGGAAGATAGTTTTGTTCTCAGTCCATGGATAGGAAAGTGGTGACTTCCCAGTTCAGATGTTGGTCTTCATGGGGTCTGCTCTCTGAAGGCCCAGCTTCTTCTTCTTATCTTTAGGAATCTATTTAAATATCCCGCTCAAGAGAGGCAGGATTAAAGGCGTGGTGGCACTCGGGAGGCAGAGCCAGGCGGATCTCTGTGAGTTCGAGGCCAGCCTGGGCTACCAAGTGAGCTCCAGGAAAGGCGCAAAGCTACACAAAGA